GCGGCTTGTTTTACAACGTCGTTGCCAAGCGACGAAAACCCAATCCCGATGGCAAACACCGGGGGCGGCGACTTGTTACAATGTCGTTGCCAAGCGACGAAAACCCAACCCCGATGGCAAACACCGGGGGGGGCGGCTTGTTTTACAACGTCGTTGCCAAGCGACGAAACCCAACCCCGATGGCAAACACCCGCGGGGGGGGGGGGGGGGGGGGGGGGGGGGGGGGGGGGGGGGGGGGGGGGGGAGGGTGTACTCATTACGTTCGTTTCCAACAGTCCGAACCATTCCGGGAATGAAGCCAGGGTTTCCTCGCTTGACGTACGTACGTGAAAGAGGTGGCGGCTGCATGAGCAAAAAACATCGTCGATACAGAATGGCGGCTGTCCGCAAGATTCGTCGAGAGGTTGCCCCCATCACAACAACTTGTGGAGTGAAAATCGGCTCGCAGTGGCTCTAGATAGAAACGAGTTGGAAACACACAACACACATGGACTTTGATGCATGTACAAGATTGCTTGCATGTAAGAATAGTCGCCTGTCCATTGGTTTTGCCGACACGTGGACCGGTTACCCTGGGGAATGATGTCGACTCTCCAGCAACGCGTGGCGCTGTAAACACGCTCGTTGGGACGCAGTGCTGTCCGGGGTATGGTGGGGATTGTCAACCCTCATGCCCGTGAAGAGTGTGTCGGAATACTCAATTTCAGTCATTAGTATCTGTACTGCTGTAAACAACGTAAGAATCCCTCCGGCACGGTGGCGGTGATCGTGAAGGCATTCATTGCGTTGATGGCACGGAATGGCTACAACGAAAGCAATTTCACAACACTTCCCGACTTCACCGGGGGGGAGCGCGAGCACCGAGCACCACCTTTCTATTGATGTTTACACTACAGTAGTGCATACAATGGAATCTTGCAGCGACGTCAAAACCATCACGAATCACCCCTAATAGCACAACAACAGCCGCACGAAGAAAAAAACAGAAAACGAAAATCAGAACGCCCAATGACCGCAGCAGCAAAAAAAAAAAAAAAAAAAA